CCATGACTAGCCACAGCAATCTTGAAAAAGAAGAACAAAGTTGAAGGAATCATACTGCCTGATATTAAACTATATTACAAGGCCATAGTAATCAAAACAACATGCAAAGTACTAATATAAAAACAGCTATACAGACCAGTGGAACAGAATTGAGAGTCTAGAAATGAACCCACACCTTTATAGTCAATAAATATTTTACAAAGGAGGCAAAAACATACAATGGGGTGAAAATAGTCTACTCAATAAATAGTGTTTGGAAAATTGTACAGAAAAAAAATGAATCTCCTTACATCATACAAAAGAATAAACTCAAAATGGATAAAAGACTTAAATGTAAGTCACAAAACCATAAAAATCTTAGAAGAAAACATAGGCAGTAAAATCTCAGACATTTTTGTAGCAATATTTTTTCTGATATGTCTCCTAGGGCAAGGGAAACAAAAGAAAAAGTAAAATGGGACCACATCAAACTAAAATGTTTTGCACAGCAAAGGAAACCATCAACAAAATGGAAAGACAAATCACTGTATGGGAGAACATATTTGCCAATGATACATATGATAAGAGGTTAATATCCAAAATTTATAAAAAAAAAAAAAAAAAATGTGTATACAACTCAACAGCAGGAAGACAAACAATTCAATTAAAAAAGGAGCAAAGAATCTTAATAGACACTTCTCCAAAGAGGACATACAGATGGCCAATATACATTTGAAAAAATGCTCAGTGTCACATTATTAGTCTTCAGAGAGATGCATATTAAAGCCATAATGAGGTCTCACCTCACACCTACCAGAATGGCTATCATCAATAAATCAACAAAAAACAAGTGCTGGCAAGGATGTGGATAAAAAGGAATCCTCATGCACTGTTGGTGGGAACACAGACTGATACAGCCACTGTGGAAAACAGCATGGAGTTACCTCCAAAAAATTTAAAATGAAACTGCCTTTTGACCCAATGATCCCACTTCTAGAAATATATCCTAAGAAACCCGAAACAGTAATTCAAAGGAATATATGCTCCCCTATGTTCACTGCAGCATTATTTACAGTGGCCAAGATCTGGAAACAGCCCAAGTGCCCATTAGTAGATGAGTGAATAAAATAGCTGTGTTACTGCCGTAGCCAGTTTAGCTCAGCAGTTAGGGTTCAATTCCGATCAAGGGCATGTAGTTCAGGTGCGGTTTGTCTGTGGCCCTGATTAGGGTCATGCGGGAAGCAACCAGTTGATGTGTTGCTCTTGCATCACTGTTTCTCTCTCCCTCCCTCCCATTCTATCTGCGATAAATAGAGAAATATCCTCAGGTGAGGATTAAAAAAATTAAATAAATAAACAAAAACAAATTAGCTGTGGTACATTTATACAATGTAATACTACTCAGCCATAAAAACGAAGTAAATCTTACCTTTTGTGACAGCATGGATGGACCTAAAGGGTATTATGCTAAGTGAAATAAGCCAGTAAGAGAAAGACAAATACAGTATGCTCTCACTTATATGTGGAATCTAATGAACAAAATAAATTGTTGAACAAAATAGAAACAGAGGCATGGATACATGGAACAGACTAACAGCTGTCAAAGAGGAGGAAAATGGGGGAACTTGATGAAAAAAGGTAAAGGGATTAGCTGAAAAACATGTATACATAACATATAGACACAGAGAAGAGTGTGGTGATAGCCAGAAGGAAAGGAGGGTGGGGTTAGGTAGAGGTGGGCAAAGGGAGCAAAACGGGGACAGAAAGAGACTGTGCTTGGGGCAGTGGGTGCACGATGCAGTGTGCAGATGATGACCTGTATGGTTTTGGGAACCAATGCTACCCCAAAACATTTAATTAAAAGAATTTAAAAAAAATTTAAAACTCACCACCCAAAAAATAAACAATCCAATTAAAAAATGGTCAAAGAACCTGGAATAGGCACTTCCCCAAAAAAGGACATACAGATGGCCAATAGACATGAAAAGATGCTCAAAATAACTAATCATCAGAGAAATGCACATTAAAACCACAATGAGGTATCACCTCACACCTGTCAGAATGAGGTATCATCTTACACCTGTGGTACATTTACATGTGGAACACTATTCAGCTCTGAAAAGGAAGGAAATCTTACCTTTTGCAGCAGTGTGAATGGACCTGGTAAGCATTATGCTAAGTGAAATAAGCCAGCCAGAGAAAGATGAATACTATATAATTTCACTCATATGAAGAATCTAAAAGCAGACGAAACTAATAAACAAAATAGAAAGAGACATAGATACAGAATAGACTGGCAGCTGTCAGAAGGGATGGCGGTTGTGGGGCTGGGTGAAAATGGTAAGGGGAGTAACCATAAAGAAAACAAAACTTATAGACATAGATAGTATGGTGATTACCAGAAGGAAAGGGGGTGGAGGAGGAAGAAAAGGGTATAAGGGGGATAAATGGTGAGGGAAGGAGACTTGATTTAGTGTGGTGAACACAATATAATATACAGATGATATATTATGGAATTGGGCACCTGAAACCTATATTATTTTATTAACCAATGTCACCCCAAGAAATTCAATAAAAAAATGTAAAAATATAAAAAAATCAAAATAAAAAATTCCCAGAGGAAAATATTCCCAACCAGTCACTCATAACTCAATTATGTGTTGTATATCGCTTTCACTCTAAGTAGTACAAAGACATCATTCAGTCCCACGGAGTCCCAACATGTGTGGTTTCTTCTACAGAGGAGTTTGGATATTTGCCAAGCAGCACTGAGCCAATGCAAACCATGTAGGTCTAAACACTGCTAAAGTACTACATCTTGACACTTACTTGCTGCTGTGGAGTACCTTTTCACACTGGAGTGATTTATATCAATGTTAAAGGTGAATACTTAGATAAACTTAAACTCATACCTTTACGTACATAACCTCTTTATGAATTATACAACTTATAAAAACATTTTAAAAATCAGTTAGGTGGAAAATCTCTAGTACAGACTCTAATTTTATAATGTATTCAAATAACCATTTATTTCAATATCATTATAACAGAAATCAATATTTCATAAATATTTATTTGATTAAATAGTAGTCATTTCAATCATGGAATATGGCCAAAGAAAGATATGCTTAAAATAGTCACAGAAGGAAATTGTGCTATCAGAATTTATTTTAAGCAATGATCTAATACACTCAGTTCAGATAAATGGACTTTTCCTTCCAATCCCTAAAGGCAGAGAACAGCACAAAAATAAATTCCTTTAAAAGTATGAATTGCTTTTTGCTATTATACGAAACTGAGACATATTTGGGAAACTGCTGTTAGCTATGTAGTATCTCTTAAAGCAATTGACTAAGATTTTCTCTCGGCTTTTTAAAAAAGGTATTTACTGATGACTGAGATATAGTTGATGCCATTAATAGGTTCTCCTGGGGGTACCTTTTAACAGTCCTTAAAAGAAATTCCTAAAGAAAAAACACACTCTTGGAAATAAAAGGAATGGAGAATAATGGCAAGCTTTTCAAATTCTAGCATGTAAGCAACTACTTATTTCACTTTATTATAAACAATATCCAGACTATAGAAATGTGTATTTTTTAAATAAGATAACCTTAGCCCTGGCAGGTTTCGCTCAGCGATTGGAGCGTCGGCCTGCAGACCAGAGAGTCCCAGGTTCGGTTCCCACTAGGGGCATATACCAAAAAAAAAAAGAAGAAGAAAAAAAAGATAACCTTATGTGCTTGTAAGTGTTGATTAAAACAAGCGAAAACAACTACTGGCAATATTTTATCCCTCACACTTTCTTCTAGAAATGCAGATTACATAAAATGCATGCATGTACATTTGCACTCAAAGACTATTTCTTTATTAGATCTGAGCTTTCATAAGAAATAACTCCTTTTCCTTTAGTGGACCTCACTCAGAAATGTATAGAAAAGTTAAAGTTTAAAATGTTTAAAAAGCAAAAGCCATTGTTTCTAATGCAGATATTAATTAAGCAATATTAATACATATGGAGATAAATATTTTCCCTGTGTAGACTAAAGCCCTGAGTGTTGATAATATTGAAATCACTGAGCAACTAATATTTAATTATTGAAAGCATCTCAAACTTAGAGAGTTAAGTGAAAGTGGTCACTGTAGGTGAATGCGAAGGCAGCCTCACAGTCCTAAGCTACCTGTCGACAGTTCTTTTTGAATGGGAGGAAGTCTCCATTAACCTGAAACCTTGCAAAGACTCCTACTATTTCTTTTGGAATACTTCTAGAAAAGAAGAAAAAAACCAAAACAAAGATACCTCACAGATGCAGAATAGGTCATGTAGTCCTCATCAGTCATTCAATCCCTTCTAGCCTTGGTATGTATCTTTGTTTGCACAAATACTGATATTTGCTGAAGTGCTAGCTAATAATAATTATAAGGTCGAAGGCATACCACTTTTTGCTTTGGATATCACAGTGCTAATTTAAAATGTAGGATATAACAGCAATTGCCTTTTGTGTTTTGAATAAGTAGTATATATTCTCTTTTAGTGGTAATATTGTTCTTAGTGAGCCCACAGTTAGGGAATTATTAATGTTCACTAACTGAGTGTGATTGGGCCACAGGAGAAACATGTTCAGATCTAAATTGGGAGTGTGGTGTTAAATTGCTACCATAGTCACGTTATTAATTTAAAGTATGCTTATTTACAAAAATTGCTATGGATATAAATGGTAACACTTGATGAATAACTCATTTGCTAGCTTTTCAATCCAAAACTTTGCATTCATACTATATAATGTATAACTATCTATTTACTACTCTTTCATGCCTTTCATTCATATTTCCCAAGGTTATGATATTATACTCATTCGTTCTTAACAAATCCATAAAAATCTGAAACATGTATCAAAGGCAATATGTTATTTTTGACATGTATATTAGTGCACTTGACACTGAGTCACTTGAAACAAAACAGAAAAGGAGAAGGGAAGAGATGAAAATAAATGCATCCAGTCAACTAATATAAATAAACTGACCTTCTTAAAATTTTTGTTTAAGTCAAGCAAACTGAGCAGGAAGATGTGGTCCTTGGCACCCAGGAGCATCCTGGCCCTCTCCTCATCTAACAGAATTGTTTGGAAGTCCAGTCCTTCTGATGAACCCAAAAAGGGAATACAGCTATTTGAAAGCAGCAAGTCTATGGGAAAGCGAAAAAAGAACAGAATGAAAGAAACAATTCTTAATAAGCACAATATCTATTTACTTCAATACATACATTGTCCCACTTTGTAAATGCATAAATATCACATGAAAACACCAATTTAGATATATGCAGACAACATACAGTTTTTAGCAACTATACTTATTTAAAAAATAGATGTAATTATTATATTTTTATTTTATTGATACATTAATCTTAACTTATGAAAAATGAATATTAAAGTGAATATAAAACAAGTTGACACAAAAGAAATAAAATGCATATATTTTACAATGTCGTGTTCACCTTCTTAATTTATAAATAAACTACTTAGTCATAAAATAACTATAGTAACACTTGCAAACTGATAAAATTAATTAATATATACAAAGTAAGCCTTAAACTAAGGGTGTAGTAAATCTCATAGTATTTTTCCCCTCCTACTTTTAATAGTGTTTAGATTGACGTCTCTGTTTGCAGGATTATACTATGCCTATTTCAGGAAGATGTAAACAAAGAGGCTGAATCCAAAAAAAAAATTAGATTCTGAAAGAGATATGATCCTGAACCAGTAATAGAAGCAGAACTATAAAGCAGAACGGGACCTTGAAAATCAATTGATGCAAATTCATGATTTATAAATGAAGGTATTTCATTCGAGCACAGTTAACCACATGTCCTACAAAATTATGTGGTGGCAAAGCTGATAATATAACCTCAGTCTCAGTCTCCGTTTCTCTTTGACACTTGTCTGTAGTTCTTAATTCTTTATTTTATATACAATTGTGATATAGCCCTGGCCAGTTTGGCTCAGCGGTTAGAACGTCAGCCTGTGGTCCAGAGAGACCAGGGTTCGGTTCCCACTAAGGGCGTGTACTTCGGTTGCACTTTTTCCCTGGCCATGGTTGGGTCGTATGGGTGGCAGCCACTCCATGTGTCCCTTTCATGTCGATGTTTCTCTCTCTCTTCCTCTTTCTCCCTCCCGCTCTATCTGAATAAAAAAATGGAAAAATGTCCTCGGATGAGGATAAAATAAAATAAAAAAAAAGAAGAAGAAAAATTGTGATATAGACAGACTCATTTAAGTTTAGTTCCGGGTTTATAGGAATCCAAACCATTTCAGATTTTACCCAAGTATTTATCACACCCTTTCATTTTCTACTACTCTAGAGTATTAGTACCAATAAGGTAATAATATCATTCATCATTTATAAAAGTCCATTCTATGTTACTGGATTTTATTTTTTTAAAAACATTATTTTCAAGTAATTCATTATTAATTGATAAGAAAGATAACAAGATAATTTCTCAGGCGGCCCTGACCAGTTAGCTTAGTTGTTTGGAACAACGTCTCAATATGCCAGGTTATGGGTTTGATATCCGGTCAGGGCACATACAAGAATCAGCCAATGAATGTATAAATAAGTGACAGATAGATATTAGAATCTTATACATGTTAGGAGCTGAGCATGTAGTTAAGGCTGTGATATGACTGAGTCCTGCCTTCAGGGGGCTCACAGATCCATGAGCAAATAGATATGTATATCATATATAATGTAAGTGAAATAAATTCTAATAGTTTACACAAAATGTCAATAAATCTTTTTAATAAGTATTAGCTCAGTATCTTACAAACGGAAGTGATATTTGGGAACAGTCCTGAAAGAGATAAAAACTTTACAGGAAAGATGTAAAGAAAACTATATTTTAGGCAGAATGACACTAGAATGTACAAGGGCATCTATCACCATATGTTGCGGTTACACCCTGTGTTTTTAATATTTCTCCTACTCTGGAGTGTGAACTCCTTTGGGACTAAGACCATGTTGCAAACTTACCTTTGAATCCCCAGCACCTAGCTCAGAGTCTGAGACAAATTAAGTACTTCATAAATATTTGTGGAGTTGAAGCTGTTCAGTGTGCTGGCACACAGAGAGTAAGTAGGGACAGTGAGACGAAGGCTGGACATAGGCAGCCTCCAGGTAACCAGAGCCTAAGACTCCAGGCTGGGGAATTGGTTATTATGTAGGTAACTGGACACCACTAAAATATTTTATGCAGAAAAGTGACAAATACTATAACTGAGTGTCAGAGAATAAGCCTGGCTGCAGTATTCAAGATGGATGAGAGTCAGGGAAGGTAAAGGCAGGGACACGACCCAGAAGTTTCTGCAAGACGGTAAGTCCTGAATAATGGCAGTGCCAATTGGGGGAGGAAGATGTTTAAGAAACTGGAATATCATGTTTTGTTTCTATTTATACACTGAGGAAAAGAAATATAAAGTTGACATAGTCTTTTGCTTTATTTTCTTTCACCATAACGAATTCTATTGGGTTCAGTTTCAAACAAATTTGACAAAGAAAAACAGCTGCAAAAATAGTGACTAACCTGATGTATTATCATTTCAGAATGATTTAATGCTGCCTTGTGACAGTGCTAGCATCAAAACGATTAAAGCATGCTTCGCCAATCCTTTGTAGCCAAACTAAATAATTAGACTAAGGCATTACATATGAAAATTTCTCAGGCTGACGCACACATTTTGAAAAGACCTTGGGACAGGGGTTGGAACAGGTTCCCTCTTCCCCAAGCAGCTTATCTTTCTTGCATTGCTGCCAAACTAAGCAAAGTCATTTTTGTTTCCACGGAATCATCAACTAAAGCCAAAAGGAGGAAAAAAAAGGTTAAGTTCAGAGTCTGCATCTTAACACCTAGAGCTAATACACTCCCAGGATTTCAGGAATCAGAAATGGTTGCTGGCTCCCAGGCTGCAAACTCATGAAAGTTAAACACCAATAATCTGGCAATATATTTCAGAGCTTTACTCCCCCCCCCCTCCTAAACTGGCAACTCTCAAGCATGTGATTTTTAAGATTGTCTACAGTTTATAATCTTTTTGAACAGAAACTCTGTCTTTTTTCCCCCTTGGGTGGTGGGGTGGGTGTGGAAATCTATTTCAGAATCTAATTTTTTCCTTCTCCTAAACTGGCAACTCTCAGACATGTGATTTTGAAGCCTGTCCACAGTTTACAATCCTTTTGAATAGGAACTGTCCTCCCCCCCCCGCCCCCCCGCGTTGGGTGGTGGGGTGAGTGTGCTGCTTCTCACATGCCTTTTGCAGGAGGTCTGCCCGGCTCTGATTTAACCAGTCCGACGTTTTGTCGGATGGCAGTAGCAACTAACTCCGCTATAAAATGCTTTCTTTGTTCTATCTACCTAAATCCACCATAATCACTCCTTCTAGCTGTTTTTTTTTTGTTTTTTTTTAGCAAATTCAATGTCCTGTCACCTTGTTCTCCATTTCTTATCTCCTTCAATCACCCAGACCCTCAAATTCTCACCCTCATTGTAGCAATACACTCTTGGAAAATCCACAAACTGATTCTCTCTGAAATTAATGGAGCAAAGGAATGATAATTCATCTATTCCACTATTTTAAGTCTGAAAACCATGCACATGATGAATTTTAATGATGACAGACAAGTTGTTCATGACCCATGGTCAATAAACCATTACAGAGCAACAGAATGGTTCTGAGGATCCAAAACCCTATAAGCAATGTGATATTTTCATGTTTGTATGTATGTGAGCATTTTCTGAAGAGTATGTCCAGAGTCTTCGTCAACAACTGATGTTTTACAGGGGAAAAATCACAGGGAATATTGTACATTTCCCACATATAGTTAATAACTTTGTGTAGCACAAGAAAGTGAGCCACCATCCTCATAAAGTTTGAATTTTGAAAATAAGCAACCACCTCACCTAAGGTCACCATGTACTCTGTATGTGTCGCAAAGACTGGTAACAAGTTCCACTCCCACGGATCTCACTGCCTAACGGAAAGAAATGCTCATCCACAACGAAAATGAAAATATACTTTTGACAAAAGAGACTAGTACTGAAAGTAGTAGACTGTTAAATATCTTTACTAGTAAAATAGAAGAACTTTCTATCTATATTTTCTTTAGCAAGCCAAATAATGCTACTTCACTTCTCTCATCAATACATGTGGGTAGGAAACCAAATGATCACTAACTAAGCTCCTTTCAACATTGGAGCTCTATGGCATTAGAACCTTATGTTTAACTTTGTTCCAATCAAGAACATATCTACTAACACCCTGTCATTCACCTGTCTATGGGCATTGCTTTGCTCCTTGGAGCAGGTAGTCAGTCTCTAATCTTTTGGAAGAACAGAAATGCAGGGCAAACCAACTAGAGCTGAAGGAAGATCTTGTCAATAATCCTGTTTGGCCTTGGCCAGTTTGGCTCAGCGGTTAGAGCGTCGGCCTGCGGTCCAGAGAGACCCAGGTTCGGTTCCCGCTAAGGGCACGTACTTCGGTTGCAGTTTGTCCCCGGCCCTGGTTGGTCGTGCGGGTGGCAGCCACTCGATGTGTCCCTTCACGTCGATGTTTCTCTCTCTCTCCCTTCCTCTCTCTCCCTCCCACTCTATCTGTACAAAAAATGGAAAAATATCCTCGGGTGAGGATAAAAAAATAATACTACTACTACTAATAATAATCCTGTTTGACTCCCACGTTGCCAATTCAGTGAAGTCCAGAACAGTGAAGTAGGCTTCACAAAACCAGTTTGCTCTTGGTGGTGGAGCACGGTGATAATAAACCCCTTACTCCCAGCCAGACGCCGCTCATCTGAGGAGAAGACTAAAGATCCTATAAGCCCTGCTCCTATTTGAAATAAACATTTGTTCTGGAAAGAATGCTTTGTATCTGCCTTTTGGTGTCCCTCAATAGAACTGTTCATGCAACCTGAGAAAACATTTGACCTGATGATCTACATTTTTTCTTTTTGCCCCAGAAAGGAAGGGAGTGGTTAGTCACATTGAATCTAATAAATTTTGGATTAAACAACAAAGACTTCCTCAATCTTGGACTGTTAAATGAACGAGATCCCAAACCCTTGAAACCCTGCATTTATTGCCAGAAATCTTGACTGGGTGGAGCTGACAGTTTCTCTCATGAGAAGGCTATGTAGCTA